CAGTACAATAATCTTTATAGAAAATAAAGAGTTCCACAAATTTGGGGGGGGGGAATTCCCGACAGAGGTTTTCGATTAACCACAGTCTGACCCGCAAGGCAGTGAGTTGGTGTGTGAAACCTGAATGCTATTGAGGATCGGTGTCCAATTCATCGGATCATATCGTAAAACCAACGTAAACATTTCAGTCTTTACTCTGCTCTTTCATCCCAAACCAAAATCGGCGCACGAAAGTACATTCAGTTATCAGTTGTAAAAACGGAGCCTGAAATTCGTGATATGACTTCCCTGATTCCCGAAGTACACATTTTACACACCAGGCAAGGTTGAATTTTGTGAGCATCTTACGAACTAAAAAAATAGGTAAACATGTGGGCGGTTGAACTAAACAGTACAAATCTATTTGATCGTCACAAAAAAATCCCATTGGTTCCGTTCATGTGAGCTGGGTTTGATGGAAACATACCGAACTGACGATGTTAAGCGTCAATGTCATAGTTTATTTAGGAGGGTGAATTGTTTTTTTTTAATGAGCAGTTCAGTCGAAATGTGATTATGAACCTTTCGTTTAACCAGATAAAATAATGGCGCATAGTCGACAACCATGTGAATTGGAACAGAGAAAATACATGCTCACAATAACTCATAGATGAGTGTTCGGGAGATCAGTTTCTAAAACGACGCATTTATCAAGACGTGCTGACGGCAACGGTTTAACGGAGTTAAGTTGTGATTTAATCTGAGAAGAGACGTGACGACAATCGGTGTCTTGAGTTATGACTGCACAGGATCATCTTGATACAGTATTCTCAAATAACCGTTTTTCCAATCATGTTTCTCAAATCGAGAACGATTTCAAATGCTTTGAAATCGAATACTGCTGAAAGTGTATGGGAATATATTCACTGTACCAAAAGCACGCTTAGTTACAGAAAACGGGAGAGATGAGGAAATACATGTACAAGGTGATTAGTTAACTAGATAACTGTTAGCCGTCTCGATGGACTGTGGATTCTGATCAACCAAACAATATTTGATTAACACTATGTCACAACGGTGTATGCTACTACTTACAAAGAACGAGTACCGTATTTCTTGAAAAACGGTTGTTTTCTTAATCCAGTTAGACTGGCCTCAAAAGCATCTTGCACATATATGCAGTATTCAACGTTTCAGCCCAGTTAATTTTTTTCGTGAATCCAGGGGGTAAGTGTAATGCGTGATAAGGATTAAAAATATTTCCACGTTCTAGGTAAAACGACGGAACACATGGGAAGGAGGAACAAATGACCTCCCACATGTCCCGCAGAGAAGTAAGACTAACTCCCTGACTGTCGAATGTTTCGCAGTGATTCTGTTCGCCGATGGCATACCATTGTCAGCGCCTCTCGAAGAAAACCAAATAGCAGATTCCCACATGAGAATGGCGAACGATTTTCCCCTTCTTATAGCTCCGGAAGATCAGCAAGGGGTAATGGTTGAACTTTTCCAGGAAGACGATATCGATATCCATGCAGAGCGCGCCTTCATGGGTGTAATAGTGGTCACCGGCTCGGTTGGGCATCAAGGTCTATTGGGCACCTTAGGCATTGGACCCTGTCCAAAGAGTGTATGAACCGATGAACTGGACACCGACTCTCAATGGATTGCGGTTTTCGCACACCACCCCTCTGCCTTGCGGGTCAGGTTTTGGCTAGCCAAAGGCTCCAGTTGTGGATTCCCTAAGAAAATTCACCTGCCTTGGTCTGGGCAACCTGACAGTATTCAGCCCACATGCAAACCACCTTTTTTATAAAGATTATTGTGCCGTGATTTGTCTGGCACAAAGTCTGGCGTTAGGCGTGTGTGGAACACACACACACACACATATATATATA